TATTATTGTAAATTTATAAATTATAAATGAATATTACATAAATGTATAAATTATAAATTATAAATTATATATTTTTATATAAATATACATTTATAAATATTTATAAATAAATATATTTATGTATTTATATAAAAATATATAAATGTATTATATTACATATAATACATATTATAAATATATTTATAAATGTAAAAGTGTATATTATTATAAATGTATAAATTACAAATGAATATTATATAAATGTATAAATTATAATTTTATTAATATATATTAATATTATGTATAAATGTAAAATTAATATTATGCATATTAATATAAATGTATTATATTATGTATAATACATAATATAAATGTATATTATAAATATACATTAATATATATATTACGTATAAATGTACATTTATATAAATGTAAAATATATATTATATTATATATAATTTATATAATATATAATATTCATATAAATATATTACAAATATGTAAAAATATTTTTAAGTAAAATAAAATATTTATAATATGTAAAAATAAATATATAAATATTTAATATATATAATATACATTAATATTAATTATAAATATTATAATATTATAAATATGGTGTTTATATAATATTTCAATTTGTAATATTTATTGTATATTTCATTATATAAATATTCATATAATATATAATATATTAATATATAATATATAATTTTCAATTTGTATAATATACATAATATTGTATATATATAATATAATATATTATACATAATATACATTATTACATTATTACATATTATGTATATTATATATTATACCTAACATTATTAGACATTATTATACACAATAATGTACATAATAATATTATACATTAATAATGTATATATTATAATATAATGTACATAATATATTATATATAAATATTTACACATTTATGTATACAATATTACATATTATGTATATTATAATATATTATGTATAATATTAATGTATATAAATATTTATATAATATATAATATATATAATTTTCAATTTGTATATTTCAATTTATATTAATATAATATATATATATATATAATATACATAATTGAAATATACATATGTAGTTGTTTTTGATATAATGTTTGGATATGATTGTTTTTGGAGTTGTTTTAGAAATACACATTTACTGTAGCATTTGGGATGTGAAAAACAGTTTTTCAAAAACAGCTCCAAAAACAAGGATCCAAACACACACATTTATCATTCTGTTCTTTTATTAAAAAAAAAGGAAAAGATTTTTAAACCTTTTTTTAAAATATAAAAACAGAGTATGTATTCTTATTTATTTCTGTATATGTTAAACGAGAACGAAATGGGCAGAAAATTGTGTATATTAATGGAAAAAATAACAATGTGGAAAACAAGACAATAATTCCATAAATTGACATTGTAAAATAATGGAATGGGATGTGCCGCAATTTGGTAGCGTATTTGTTTTGGGTACAAATTTTGGCGGTTACAACTTACAATCCTGTCATCCCTATGAAAGAAAACAAAGGGAAAAACACGAGCGTTGCCAAATGAACTTAAGGACCTGTTTGCAAAAGAGTTTTTTGCCAAGTTTTTTTTTTCAAATTTTTAAATAATTTTAACTACAATAACCTCAAAAATATTCTCAAATATTTTAAAATATACACTTCAAAATACTAAAAAAATATTAAAAAAATTACCTTCCTTTCCTTTTCTTCCACCTCCACCTCAATCCGCCACCATCTCCACCGCTGGCTAGCACCGATCAGCATTTACACTGGCGCCAACAATTCCTCTATTTTTTTTCCTTTCCTCTCCTCTCTCTCTCTCTTCCCCTTCTCATTCTTCCTCTCACACTCTCCCTCTCCTTCTCCCCTTTCCTCCCGTCCTCTCCTTCCCTTCCTCCCACTCCTCCACTGGAGAAGGGGAGAAAATGAGAGGGAGGAATGAGAGAGAAAAAAGAAAAAAAGCACCATCAGTGCCCGTCGTCGATGGAGGTGTCAATAATGATAGTCGGCTAGTGGGGAGGGAGGGAGGGAGAAGAAGAGCAATTGAGGAGGGAGAAGAAAAGGAGAGGAAAGAAAGGGAAAAAGAAAAAGAAAGGAAAAAAAGGAAAAATGAAAAAAAAAATTTCAAAAAAAAGTTTTCACATATTTCAAAAAGTTTTCTGCAAATAGTGAGTGATAATAAAGTTTTAGACAAACAATAGAAAAACTTGTTTGCCAAATGAAAGTTTGCATTATTTCTCTCCAAGTTTCAACTCCCAAACTAAGCCTTAAGAACTGTTTGTTTTGAACGTGTAGGAAATAAACTCATCAGTGTTTGCCTTTGTTTTCCTTTCAACCTCAGCGGCCCAATGGCCAAAAAGACGTTTTATTCTCTCCTCTTATTTCCTTCCGTCTCAACTGCAGTGATTTCCTTTCCTTTATGTTCCTTCTCTTCAATTGAAACGTCGTCTTTAGGCTTCGTTTGGGAGTTGAGAATTTGGACAAAAAAGAAAGGGAAAGAAGAGAAAGTTTAGGCCCCGTTTGGATTGCATTTTCCATGGAAAAATTACTGTAGCGATTTGATTTATGTGACGGAAAAAGATAATAGGAAAATGTGATCACGGAAAACGACACAATTTTCTGACAGAAAATGACAATCCAAACTTTTGTTTGTTAATTTTTAGTAATAAAGAAAAGAAGAAAAATGGAGGATTCAGAAGGATGAATAGTAACCAAAACTTTTCCTCCCCAATTGGATGAAAATGAAAGGAAACTTTGAGAAAACTTGTCAATTTTTTTAAAATGTTTATTTTGTCCTTAAAAAGATTTTGAACAAATATTTAATAACTTCTATATCCAAAATCATTCTATTAATTTTTAAAATTCCTAAACAATATAACAATCTCTTATTTTCTTCCGTAACTTAAGGTTGTGTTTGGATTGCATTTTTTTAAATTTTTTGTAAAAAAATTATTGTAGCGATTTGATATATATGAGATAAATAGGTGATTGAAAAATATGTTCATAAAAAATGTAGCAATTTTTTTTTGGAAAATGGCTATCCAAACAAGGCCTTTTTTCCTTCTTTTCTTTTCTATCATAAACTCCGAAACTCCGAAACAAGGCCTTTTTCTTTTCTTTTCTGTTATCGTTTGGAAAAAAAAAAAAAAAAACTCCGAAACTAAGCCAGAAGAGAGCGAGAAACAGGTGGCTGCCTCCTTTAATTTTGTGGAGGTCAACGACGTCGTATGCTCAACTAGTAGCATAACCTACACCGCTATATAGTGAGGGGCAAAATCACGAGATCCAGTCACCGTCGGACTCACGATGAAGATATTTGTTGTTGCCGTGGTAGGAAGCTTGTAGGCGGCAGCTGGCACCATATCTGCTATTCAAGTAAACTTGTATTCGTTTCCATCCTTTTCCTTTTAATTTCTATAACCTGCTTTGTTTCATCAGATCTGTTTGCTAGCTGGATAAATCGGGTCAAATTTCATGGGAAAGTTTGCGGCGCTGAGTAGTACTATTTTTATGTCTGATATCTGATTTTTTCCCCTGTTCTTCAACGTTGCTCAACGGAGGAACCAAGCATGATCTTTCGATTCTTCAAAACTTGAGAGTTTCCTTTTTGACTGTAATTCACAGATACAATCGCTCTTTAATAGGGGTAATCGCGTGTTTCTCTTATCGATTAGTAATATTTGAGGACGGTTTCTTTGTGCTAGTAATGGATTCCGGATGAGATGAGCATGGATTTAACACGATATTGTTTTACTTATTCCCTTTCTTAATTTTACGGTACCATGTCGGGATATTTTGTATTTGGAGTCATAAAATTCGTCTAAATTTTCTGTTTTCCACTTAATCACTTAGCAGGAGGATGTTGTGCTGTTCGAGTCGTGTATAATGTAGAAAAATATGCATTTTTCTTTTCTTTTTTTCTTGCATGCCGTCGTGGAGTTCAGTTCAATTTGATATGTGTTTGTGTGGTTTATAATTCTGTAGACTAGCATCTGTTTCTGTGACTTGGCTGCATTTTACTCGATCACTGAGTAACACAGATATATGATGGCGGATATAATGTATCAGCATTTAGATGATTGATTAGTTTTCTTTGATATTGGTCGATGAGGGTTATAAAAGGTGTTTACGATCGGAAATACTTTGGAGATTAGAGGTGGAAAAGATTTTTGGTATTTGTTTGCGACGTGTGATTTCTGGAAAGTGGAGGCGTCTTTGTCTACGATAAAAGTTCATTTACTTTGGTAGTGCATCTAATGTTAAAATATTGGATGGCCAATTGCTTGCTGACGTTCTGGGTTTTTTCTTTTGCAATCAGTTTTATTAATTGTTTTCCTGTTACTGGTGCAGGGACTTGGAAGTCTTCTTGATTGTGTTTTAAGTGCAATGAGGTCGATTTTCTGTGGGAACTTTGAGTATGATGCTCGCCAATCTGACCTGGAGAGGCTGTTTCAAAGATATGGGAAGGTTGATCGGGTGGACATGAAGTCTGGTAAGTTTTGCTGGGATGTTTTTGCTTACTATTGTTATGTTCTCAAAATCATAATATTGTGGCAGCAAATGGGAATATGAGGACTTCTATGTTATTTGGTTCATCTGTCTGACCTGTTCCTCATTGTATTTGAGTTCGAGTGGCTTTGCTTTTTTTTTTTTTTTTTTTTAAATATGATATGATGAGAAAGCTAGTGCTCTGGGCTTCGAGCATGTGTTGTCATAAAAATTTAAAGGATGATAGGGAGAGAGATATATATGCAAAAGTTGTCAAATTTTATCAAACCTATTTAATGACTTTCTAAGGTAACTGTTTCTTGAGAGCATGTATATACCTGACTCCTAAGGAATTTTTCCCTTCATTTTAACAAGATAATCCTGAACTTTTCGAGTCTTCCTTTGATTTTGATCTTTTAGTATGTGCAACAAGAATTCCTTTTAGAGGTGTTTTTTGTGTATCAGTAACTATGGTATGTCTTTTAAGTTATTCGATGCTTGTTCTTTATAAAATAAATTAATATTTAAGCTGGTATAATTAGTCAGTTTGAAGGTTTCTTATGTGTAGAGGTTACAATACTGACTCGAGAGAAGTAGAATGGGAGTAAATATTTTGCTGGTTTATAAGTATAGTCTCGCTTGATGCAATGGGGGTCTGCAAAAGTACTTGCATCAATCCTGTACTACATTCCTGTGTCGAAGTTAAGTGTCCGTAGCCCCAGAAAAGAGATCAGGCAGCAATCCTTGAGCCAGAGTATGCTCAATTGGTGAAGAGGACACTTCTATGTTTGTGGAAAACAGAAAGTGACTGATGCAGGGTGTGGTTTATGGAAATGTGCTACTTAATCTATTTTAAGCCTTTAATGGCTGATTCTGAAATGACTTCGAAGGTGAAAAACTGGCAGTATCAATCTATTATGTATCACTGTTGTCCATTCTGGTCATGGCTCCTAAGGTTTTTTAGCCGGTAATTTTATGATTGCTAGGGCTGGATGAAATTTAAATGACAATTTTTGTTGGTCATTTTTGGTTAAGGTTATTGAGGCCAGCTAAACTGATGCATTCGACTTGGGTTAGGTATTTCATGTTTGCTTTTCTTATTGATTCTTGAATTATTGGAAAGTTTTGGGAAAATAATCTGCTGGTCAACTATTCATTAGTCATTGCATCTTTACTCAATCCACACAAACTGTGAGAAGTATTTCAATGAGGCTGCTGCAACTACAAGTGCTAGGTTTCGGTCAAAGCTTTATGGAGCCAGAGCATTCATTGTGCAATTCAAGATGCTCAGCCTTTCCCTGTTGAGTATTTGTGGGGTATCGATGCATTTACGAAAAGCAAGAGTATGTCTTTTAAAGCCCCCATACTCAACTGATTCTTTGACGACGCAGGATTTCGGTGCAATGCCCATACAATCCTGGTTGATGGATGGATTCTTCTGCATTCCCTTTTCTTCTTGTTTTCAAGAAGAGCCCTCTGATCCACCATGGCATCGCCATCACTTCTTTTCCTGAGTCATTATTGCCTTCCATCCCTCATGACTTTTGCCCAGCCTTCATCTTCAGACATTACAATTAGTCAACCTCGAAGCTGAGGCAGCAGAATAAAATGGAGAAGATACTCTTTACATTTTCCATGACACATCCATCGTTAAAGTGGTTGTTCCTTGACATCACTTAGTTCATCATTCAAGGTCTGTTACTGATTTTGCTGGTCATTAGTTTCTAGAATTCACAGTTTGGTATAATAGGGTAACATCTTTGAAGGCGTGCACATTTCCTGGGTGAAGATATCTTCTTTGTATAGCTAATAGTAGCACATGTGGCACTTGCTTATTTTGTTTATCGTTCGCAGGATTTGCTTTTGTTTACATGGTTGATGAGAGAGATGCAGAGGATGCAATCCGTGGACTTGATCGTATTGAATTTGGAAGGAAGGGTCGGAGGCTTCGTGTTGAGTGGACAAAGGTAATGCACCATCTTTGATATTCATCTATTTTTTCTTGAAATACTCTCTACTGATGTTTTGATACACACTGACCATTTGGTGCTCCAGCAAGAACGTAGCAGGAAGCCTGAGAGTTCCAAGGCCTCTTCTGGTTTAAGACCTTCAAAGACTCTATTTGTCATTAATTTTGATCCATACCATACAAGAACAAGGGATTTGGAGAGGCACTTTGATCCCTATGGTAAAATACTGAATGTTAGGATCAGGCGGAATTTTGCATTTGTTCAGTATGAATCACAAGAGGATGCGACTAAAGCATTGGATGCTACAAATTTGAGGTCTGTTTCATTATGCGAGCTTCAATGCTTAGTTACAACTTTCTTTTACTTGTCAGGTCCTATTATCTCCAGAAGACGCATATTTTCTCGGTAAAATGAATGCATATGTATTCTTGCAGCAAACTTTTGGATCGAGTTATAACAGTGGAGTATGCAGTAAAGGACGATGATGATCGGAGAAGCGGCTATAGTCCTGATAGAAGTCATGGTAAGTCTCCCAAAAGAAGCTACGATGGGGGCCGATCTCCTAGCCCATATGGAAGAGAGAGAGCGAGCCCTGATTATGGGCGTGGTCATGGCCGAAGCCCATATCGAAGAGAACGTGTGAGTCCTAATTATGGTCAAGGACCTAGCCCAGTTCGTAGTGGAAGGGAAAGGAACTCTGAGTATGGAAGTGGCCGTCAGCCAAGTCCTAGAAAGGAGAGGAACTCCGATCACAGCCATGGACATAGCCCAAGCCCCCGAAGAGAGAGGCTAAGTTCTGAGAATGGCCATAATAATAGCCCAAGGGAGCGAAGACGTCCTAAGAAAGAGCATGATATAAGCCCAAATCCTCAAAGAGAGAAAAGGGGGAGGATGAGCCCTGATGGTTATCGGAATGGCAGAAGCCCTAGTTCAAATCCTGAACTTACAGATAGCCCTGGCAATGGCGGAGCTGAGAGCCCTTTGCCTCAACGTCAGAGGAGGTTTGATCTGCCTATACAGTATATTTGTTTACACCTTTATCTTCGTTGCCCTTCATTTTAATATTAGCAAGTTCTTGAGATCTTCTTTATTGTCATGCAGCCGTTCCCCGCCAGCACGAGAGAGATCTCAATCTTAAATCTGGTTTGTCATGGCAAGAGGTTGGTCTTGCATCTAATGGTATCCCTTTAATGGGGTTGATACGCAAACAAAACTGCTTGTAACGCATATGGTCTTGATTCTGTTTGTTTTCTGGAGTTATTCTCTTATTGTTGGTCTTGAAGCACTTATTCTGCTCGTGGAATCTGTTAGCTCTCACAATGCAATAGTTACACCGTGGTAGATACTCTCAGTTGTGTAGATGCCATTTCGGTGGATATCTCCTGTAGTTCGTAGGCCATATTGTGCGAGGATGTTGCTTGAAAGGTGTTTGGTAAAATTCCAAATTGTTTATGGAATTGCGTGCGCATGTCCACAAAGCCAGAAAACTAAAAGGAGAAAGGGAACAGAGAGAAATTATAATGGTTACTTTTTCAAACTTTGATTTTGGTACCTTATCATACCTGGGTCAAGTGTGTTGGATGGAATCCCAAGTGCCGATCAACGCATGGCAATCAATCTGGTTATATTTTCGCCTCCAGTCGTCAATCTTACGTTATTCTGGGGTGGCATTTGTGCGTGCATCCTTTTTGTTACTTAGCAAGCAAGATTTTCTCTCTCTGGCAACTCAAAACATTTCTTATATTGTCACGGCCGTAAAGAAAAATGTGGTGGATTACGCAGTATGTTTGTATTAGAAAATTAAAGAGGCCCGTGGATGAATGAATCATGGCGTCGGTTCTGCTTAGGTTGTCCGATAATGGAAGAGTCAGTCCTTACACTGCTAGCTAGCATATTATTCGGTAGCCCCTTGAAGTAGCTTCTTCACCGTTCCAAAATGAACCTTTGTAATGCAACACTTGAAATTATTCCTTCCAGAAATTCTGCCTGCGTCTATCAATCGCCCGAATCATGCGGCAGACTGAGTGACAACTGTAGTAATCGAGCATTGCAAAACTGAGACAATGACGCCGCGGCAGTCATTCACAGCTAGGCACGTGTCAAATTGCCATGGAGACGGTTTTTAAACAACGCTGGAGCCGGAGACCAGGTACAGCTGCAGCGAGAACGAAGTCACGGCATTCAGACCCTGTGTTCGCAAATTATCAAACAATCCACCCACTGGAATGGCTCCATTTGCAGATGCGACGCCAAACAGTTTATTCTTTCCAGATTACACGAGTCAAAAAAGGAGGTACGAGATTAGTGTGCCCACGGCCATTTTTATTACTAATACAAGTAGATTCTTTGATGAAAATGCAAGTCATTAGACTTCTGTTCAGATACTTTTTTTGGCTCGTGACAAATCGCTATACAACATTTGCCGATGGCATGACATCACATCCTCCTTGTAAACGCGATTATATCCTCCTTGACTGATTCTCCATTGCAAGAAGACTGTCACCTCAGGCATGCCAAGTGGAAGTGGTCTTTTCTTTCTTTCTTTCTTTTTTTTTGTCTCCCCTCTCTGGATGGAAGCTTCATATTGATAAAAAAAAAAATCATGCTAGCTTTTTCCATCAAATCTCATTTGAGTTTTCCATCGAACTTAAATTGAGGCACTGCTAATCCACTATGCTAGCATTTTGTACCAATGGAAGACGACTTGGTTTGCTCGTCGAGATGGTCTATACTAGTAATATGTACCTAGTAGGTAGGAGACAAAATAGGTAGACTTTGACCGATGGTGTAGACGAGAAGAAGTGATCATTTTGTTAAATGTGTGTAATATATCAGTTAATGAAAAAAGTATGGAGAGGATCGGGTTCATAATAATAATGTTACTTTTTAATCAGGTAGTAAAATAAGAGAAGGTAACGGGACAGATCTTATCCTGTTTCATCATTATCTTTCCAGTAATGCGATAACCTTTTTTTTTTTTTTTTTGGAAGGAAGTAATGCGACAACTTATAAAGAGAGATGAGATGATACATTCGTGGCATTCATTCCCCTTCTAAGTGGCTTGTTTTGTTATTTAGTTGTGGGAACGTTGTGCGAAAACTTTTATTGCAAAAGAGTAAAAGGTGTTTCTTTCCTACTTGTTTTTCTCTCTTTTACTTTTACTTTTTAATAACCCGCCCTACCCTACGAGAGAAAGAAGCAAAGTAGTTGTAACGGTGGTTTATCTATTCTCATAGTAGCCATAGTGTCATATGGCCATGATACCAGAAGGAGATGGAATCCTGCAGTCCACTCTCGATATGAATCGAGGAAATTGACCCATTTGGTATACTGAATAGGTTCCAGAATTGTGCTTAAAGAATCCCTCTACCTCTCATGTCCATTTTATAAAAATACAAGACTTTTTTTTAGTGGGTACATGGTTTTCCGACTGCTGGTCAAAAATCAAATTCATAGCTGGTCGAATATCTCTGCTGGTGAGAATGATTATGCTTTGGCCGCTTTTCATTTGACGGTAATCTTGTTTGGAAGCACCTCTCTCATGTCTATTTTTTTTGTAAAAAAAAATTACGTTTTTTTTAAATGTACTTTTCAATCACGCCTTTATCTCACTCATGTACATCAAATTGTTACAGTACATTGTTATTTTTTTTTTAAAAAAAAAAACCTTAAAAAAATAACAAACCAAAAATTGGAAGTACCGCAGCCTAGTGCAACATGTCAAAATTTTTTCTAGATTCTTTAGGGATGGAATCATTAGTGGAAATAACTTCATATAGGTATCAGGTAAAAATTTGCAAAGGAAATCATACCGTATAGAAGTTGTGCAGAGCTGCTGAGAACTGTATGCCGAGCTAATTGTCACTTGTTTTCATTTTCACATATTATGGAGGACTTGGAATTTGGAAGACTAAGTCGTAGAAAAATATTCCAAATCGCAAATTGCAGTTGAATCCCATTCACATTAGTTCCTTGATTGTTTCACTCGCCAAATTCTAGGGTTAGTAGATGAGAAACCAAGAAGATTCTCAATTAATGATGGGGTTACTGATTAATCATGATTCACACAGTAAGTAACGAAAGACTGGTGGGAAGTGGGAACTGAAAATCCCAGTGCTTCGTGGTCAATGACTGCAAGCGGAGGTCTTGGCATGCAAACTTGCAACTTTCCTTACTACCAAAAAAGGACTAAATCCCTCTTTGAATTGTAGGTTTTGTGTTCGAACCTCACTTGCAGTGGAAAGAAATTCAAAAGAAACGCTAGAACATCTTTTTAATTTTGTCAGGCTCTTATACTTACTAATCCTTTATACCCAGTCTTTTTAATATTCTTATGGACTCACCTACTTCTACATTAAAATAAATTAAGTTATAAAAATATTATTCCTGTCCATTACTGTCAAGGATGATTTTTTTCTACACGTTTTGCATTGTGCTGTGTTTGGGCGACCAAGATTCAAGAATGCGATATCTATGTTTAAATTTTGAACTCAGTGAATCAGGGTCCAGTTCCAGTGGGCTCCAATGTCAATTTGGCCTGGTGCGGAAAGAATCGGGGGCTCTTGACAGAAAAGCTTAAACGAAAGACCAATCCACTTACTGGGTCTGTGCCATGACTGCCGTCCACCTGGCTCTGTTACGCTGTATCAGGGCTGACTCCTTTTCTGCACCACCATCGTCCGTTTTTCAGACGGCATGGTAGTGTGTCTATTTGTGAGGAAAAGTGTGAGAAAATGAAGAAAATTGTAGTCATCTTTTCTTTTCAATGTGTATTTGGTTAGTGAAAAAGGTTAAAAATTGCTTTCTTGTATTTAGTGTCTTGCAAAATGGATTAGTCAGACACAAAATTTTCAATGAGTGCCACTAACTATCGCTAGTAACTTCTTTCAATTCTCTCGAAATCTTTTTTACCTCACTCTTTTGGTTCTTTAATTTTCCCACACACAACTTTCCTTCTAATTCTATTCAAAGAGGTCTTAAAGTTGTGTCCGTCGTGTGTGTTTGAGGTCGGACTTTCTCTCCATCTATGAAGCTCCCTTGTTGCCTCAACTGAATATGTTCTGGAAATTCTTTGCTAAACTCGGGCTTTTCAGGAGGGGAAGAAAAAGTTGAATCAATAGCACGTGCTATCTATTAAACACATGTTTAATGCGCACCCGTATCGCAAATCGAGCAGTGTACCTCCCTCCCAGTCATGGTGCCTACTCACTGTCTGGTGAGAGATAGATAAAAGACTCATAATTGAGCTGCTTCCGCATGACTAACGGGTTCAAGCTCAACATTTCTAGTCTCACATTCATAAGATGGCTTTGCTTTGTTACGGAAAAGAAAAGAAAAGAAAAAAATTTGATAAAGTTGTTGTTGTTGCATAACAACAGAGACCCTTGATTTTAAATCAGTGAAGTTTAGATATGTAACATCACATTGGGAAGAATTTTACAATGCTGCGGTTGCACAAGAATTAACACCGGGGGATTATTGAAGGGAAATTGCCTCCAACTGAGGGTGTGTGTGGGGACTGGAGGGATTCGGTAAGTAAACCCAGCAGAAAGAAAAAAATGTCAAAAAAACAGCGAAGGGTAGCGAGAGATTTTGATGATGAACAAAGGAGGAATGGGTACGCGGACCAGAGAAGGTCGGCAGGCAGAATGAACCAAGATTCTTCTACGACTGACCTGAATTTTAACTGTAGAGGGGAAGACTGTACGTACAGTCCTGCGATCAATCTGGGTGAGCCGTGCCCAAACAAATTTGATTTTGCCAGTTAAAACTTTCTCTGTTTGCTTCACGGATCGTTAAGCACTCCGCACAGCCTAGATTGGGCCCTAATGGGAAATGGAGCATTACGAATTTGGTAAACCGGGTCCACCCCTTTTAATGTCGAAAAAGTTGTTTTTGTCTTTTGATCAGGGACGGGATTGGGATGGCCAATTGGCCGGCCATAGATGATGATGAATCTTCTTCTACCATTTTTTTGGCTTCCAATGCCACCCCCCACATCCGAAAGACGCTGCTGAAGTGCGAATTTGACTCTTCATTTTAGGACTTGGTACTTTTTGTGTCTGTATATGCTTTTGTGATGTTTCCAAATGCTTCAATGCTGCTACCATTCTTCCTTCCGACTTTCCAGTTTCTCTTTCTTTCTTTTTTCTTTTTTCTTTTTTTGGAGGAAAAGAGTGGGGAGGTTTGAATATGAATAAACTACCCATCTGTGTCTTGAGGATTGTGAACAATTTGGGCTAGACAAAAACCCTTTCAATTCTCAAATCTGAGTTCCAATGAGGAGAGAAGAAGAGAACAGAAAAATAGGCCTTCTAGTCTTGCTACCACCAAAAACGTACGCACCCTCCAACAGTAATCCAGCCGGCTCCACCAAAGACACCATACGTTTGTACTGTGTTAAAAATTTTACGCATACGCTTTTGAGGCCGTACCTTTCCCTCAAATTTTCACTATAAAAATCCCTTCCCACTTCCCACTCCAGAAACACCTCTAGTATCTCTCCGTCTCCTTTCCCCCTCCCCCTCCCCCTCCCTC